TAGTTCTGGAACAGGCCATGTCAGATTCCATGTGCCAGGGCTGGTGCTGCTATCTCCCCAGTCACTCTGATACTGCTTTGACCACCCAGAGTTCAGGAGCTTCCCTGGGAGGATAAAAAGGTAGGTGCTGTCCATGGTTCTGCTCACAAAGTTAATGTGACATAAAAAAAAATAAATAAATCACACCTTTCACTCCACTAATGAGACGTATGTCTCCATGACATCAACTGCACTCTTCCCTTTATTTGTTGTTGTTAAGTACCGTGGAGTCAGTTCCGACTCATAGTGACCCTGTACAAGGTTTCCAAAGCTGTAAATCTTTATGGGAGTAGAAAGCCTAATCTTTCTCCTACGGAACGGCTGGTAGTTTCAGTTTTAACTGCCGACCTTGAGATTAGCAGCCCAATTTGTAACCACTAAGCTATCAGAGCTCTTTCTTCCCTTTATGTTGTTGTTGTTGTGTGCCGTGGAGTCGTTTCCGACTCATAGCGACCCTGTACAGTGTTTCCGAGGGTGCAAATCTTTACGGGAGCAGAAAGCCTCATCTTTCTCCCGCGGAACAGCTGGTAGTTTCGAACTGCTGACCTTGAGGTTCGAAGCTCGATTCGCAACCACTACGCTACCAGAGCTCCTTATAGCCTATATAGCCACCAGCAAAAGTACAAGATGGTCATGCCGTCCCTGATTGTTGTCACCTGTCTCTCTTTTTTTTTTCCTCCCATGCACCTGTCCAACTACTTCTCTTAATTCAGGGCTTTTTAGGGCCAGCTCTTCAGGTTATGCTGGAGGAGGGCTCCCCTGAATCCAGATGCTGAGATTGTGGCATTCACCCTCTTACTGTGTATACCGCACGAGAGTGGGAGTTTCTCTAGAGGTGCATACTGTGGGGGTTGGCCATGCCTCTGGTCATCTGAGGGGTGGAAAAACAGAAAAATATCTCATCTTTATCTCTACAAGTCACTGGTATGTTTTCTGCAATGTCAATGTGCTGTCTTGTCTCTGACTGCTCATGTAATCTTTAGATAGCCATGCCACATCTGGTCACCTGGCATAGGTCACCAGTCTGTCTCCCCCTTTTTGTTTTTTTGCCTTGTCTATTCAGCTTCCTCGAACCGACTCGACGGCACTTAACAACAACAACATTCAGCTTCCTCACCTAGTGCATATTCAATTCACTTATCTATCTCTGCATCTGAAGCTAAGATTTCCAGGAATGTCATGTGTATCGGCTTCATTTGGTTTTCCATATCTTTGTTGTAAGGTCTGTATAGACTTATTGCCTAGTCCATCATCTTTTTGCCTTCCTTTCCATATTCTTTTGATGTTTTCTGAGACATTCAGTATTTTGCCCATTATTGTTTCTAAGTGCTGTCGAGTCAGTTCTGTCTCAGAGCAACCCTGCACAGTGTTTTCAAGGAGCTGTTGGTGGGTTTGAACTACCAGCCTTGTGGTTAGCAGTCCAGTGCTTACCCTACAACACCTCACCAGGACTGCAGTATTTTGCCCATACAATCCTCCAATATTTCAATCTGATTGTTGGGTATTTTTGTTTTCAGTTTTAGAAGTTCCAAGCATGTTCTTCTTTTTTGTTTTCTAAATTCAGGTCATCCCACATTTCATTATAATGCATTACTTTGTCATTGTAAGCCACACTTTGAAAAAGTCTGTTCCGATTTTACTTCTACATTTCTTGCTTTCTCCTTCTATACTTCAGAGAAAGAGTTTTCTGACATATATTTTTGACTTTTCTTTCTTTCCTTTCTTTTTAATGACTTTTTGCTCCTTTAATGTGATGTTCTTTATATCATCTCACAACTCCTCTGTTCTTTAGTTATTAATTTTCAGTGATTAAATTTATTCTTGAGACACTTTTAATGTTCAGTTGACATGTATTCAAGTTTATATTTTGAATCTTCTGTACTTGTTTTAATTTTCATCAGACTTCACTATAATTCACCTATTTGCATTTGATGGTCTGTACCAGTAAGCCCTTGCCCTTGTTCAGAAAGATGCAATTTGAGCTTCTTTATCACCTCTTTTCACAGATGTGTAAAGCACTCATCAAAAAAAACTCAAAAAAAAAAAAGTTGTGATGAGATGGAAAGGAGGTTGTAATGGAAATGAAAACCAAATGAAAGAAGTAAGAAAACTATTGTTTTGTGGATGGGATTGAAATTATTGAGATGAAAAAAAGTGTAGGAGTTGTTGACTGTAAAACTGAAGATATTCTCTGTAAACTTTTACTCAATTCGCAATAAGAAGTTTAAAACAATTCAGTGAAAAGGAAGACAAACATTTTCTGAAAATAATGTAACATCCCCTGCTTTGAAAAATGGTAAAAATTAGACAAATACTATATAATAGAGTAGGCAAACTCTTCTTGCTTTATATTTAATGTTAAAGAAACAATATTCAACTAGTTTCTTCAGAAAATCATTTATTTTTTTTAGTTTTATATTGATGTAATTGCCTCTCAGTGCATTTTTGTTAACAAAGAAGACATTTGAATTACACCTTTTCTATGTTTGTTTACTGTTATTGCATACATTTTCATGTAATTGAATTCTGTCATCTTGTGTTACATTTTGTTCTAGTTCAAATAAAATAATATTGATTTTATGGAAATCAAAATGATCTAAGTCTGATATTCTCTCCTTTTTTCCCATCATATATATTTCTCTGAATCATATTAAAAAAATCAGTTTCCAATGACACATAATTAGAATTTCTCAATTAAACTTTAGTGTGCACTTAACACCATAATCTCTCTCTGGAGACATTTCAGTTTTGTTTTCTTGTAAGAATCCCTGGTGATTTTATTATTATTATTGTTGTTGAAGAGAAAAGATAAAACTAGTCCATTTGTACTAAAAGGGATATTTGGAAAACCAAGCTCTGTTTCATTGAAAGGTGAAGGAAGAAAGACCATTTTAAAGCCCATTTCGCACAACACTTACTAAGACCCAAGTAGACTACTACATTAGGTTGATTTTCTTAACATCTATGAATTAGAATTGTTCTGAATTTATGGAATTGGGAAAAAATAAGAAATAGAAAACATCTACTGTTATATTGTGCAATTTAGAGTAATACTTTACATATCAAGGTTTCTTGTTTTGTTTTTTCAGTTCTCATTCATAGGCCATGTCACTCCCATAGTTACTGTTTCTTGATTCTCACGTATTGAGACCTGTCTTCCTTATGCACTAAACGTTTTGTCTCATTGATCAGAAAAATGTATAGTATTTCCATCTCTCTTTGTTTAATCATACCTATTTCCCAGAGCCCGATTACAAGGATCCCACATTTATCTTATTTAACAGTCTCACCCTCATGCCATGAAAACTGATCTTTCATTTTGAACTGTGTGGGTTGCTATGAATTACAATAGACTTCATGGCAGTGGATTTGGTTTTTTGGATAACCAGTTCCAAGCCTAGAACAGGGGTCTTTTTTGCATTTGTCATCTTTTATTCCTAGGACTTATGGTTTTATTTCTATAGAGCAAGTTAGTGTCAACTGTATTGTGACTCAATAGAAAATTTGGCAGGCTTACTTGATTTTGAGACTTTCACTTAACATGATGGCGCTGTAGGCTAATGCATCAGACTGCAAAGTCATTTGAACTGCAAGATTGGTGGTTCAAGCTCACAGGCAGCTCCTTGGATACAGGTTTGCTATGTGTCAGACTCGTCTCGACTCCACACAACAACTTGTAATAGCCAGCCTTTTTAACCACTGATGAGGGCAATCAGTGTTTTACCATGTTATCAACCCTTTTCTCAATCTCAAACAGCAAGATCTTTTGGGTCTTCTGATATGGACACAGCATCTTCTATCAGTAGCAGGGGTTTTACCTTTCTCTCTGGGTGTCTCCCTGTTTAAGAGCAGGTTTTCTATTGTATACATTCCAAATTTCACTACTTGTAGTCAGGATCATTTAACTAAATTGAACCTAAGCATGTTATTGTGTAAAGAAACAAGTCAGAAACAAATTGGATAGATAAAGTCTAAAACCTTGGCTATCACTTAAAGCAAATTTGCAGATCATTTCTGTTTCATCAGTCGTACTGTTACCCATGGGATGATATAATTGTAAGTATCAAATAATTTTTTGTTTTATTTTGTAATAAATGTATACCGTAGATCATTTAACTTTGGCTGTGAGAAGCTCTTCATAAAAAGTGGTAAATTAATAGTTAATTGAAAAAAAAAAAAAAAACTTTTAATTCTGAGTTTGTTTTAAATATACAAACATTAGGTTTAAATGTCCAGATTATTTATTTAAATTGTTCATTCTGAATATGTTGTTGTTGTCGTTACATGCCATCAAGTTGGTACTGACTCATAGTGAGCTTATGCACAGTAGAATGAAACACTGCCAGATCCTGGTCCAACCTCACTATTGTTGCCATGCTTGAGCCCATTGATGCTGCCACTTTGCCAATCCATCATTCTGAATATAGAACATTAAACAACTTTTAAAAAAATTAGAAAGTATTATTTTCGTTTTTTTTCAAAGAGGCCTTAAAATATGCATTTGATAAGACTTTATCAGTTCTAAAATCAGTATCTTAAACTTTAGAGTTTTCCATCTTGTTTTCATGCACATATATTTTTTAAAAAATAAAATAAGTTTCATAATTATATTTATTATTATATACATACATTTATTATACCTATGAAAGACTCACAAAAGATTACATATCTAGTAAGCTACAGAGCAGTGAGTCTCTTCATTCTGGTTAATGTATCTTAGAATTCAGTATAGTAACTTGTATTAATTTATTATCTCATTATCGATCTTGTATGTTTTTTTATGCACAGATGTGATTTAAAAAGTAACCCTGAATTAACTAAAATTATTGTTTCTTGTTTTCATTTAAAAGGAACCCTGGTGGCACAGAGAGCTAAGTGTTGTGCTGTTAACTATAAGGTCAGCCGTTCAAATCCAACAGCCATTTTCATTTCTAGACCTAACAGGAACCAACAGCACAAAAATGAAAAATCGGTCATCTGTGAAAGAATTCATTCTCCTGGGATTAACAGATGACCCAGAACTAAACATTTTAATTTTCATTTTTCTGTTTTTCACATATATTCTGAGTATAACTGGAAACCTGACAATTATCACCCTTACTCTGATAGATTCCCACCTCAAAACGCCCATGTATTTTTTCCTTAGAAATTTCTCTTTTCTAGAAATCTCATTCACCACTGTTTGTATTCCTAGATTTCTGGTAAGCATTATAACAGGGGACATGACCATCTCCTATAATTCTTGCTTGGCTCAGGTATTTTTCTTCATACTCCTTGGTTCAACGGAATTTTTCCTCTTGACTGCTATGTCCTATGATCGTTATGTGGCTATTTGTAAGCCTTTGCATTACACAACAATAATGAATAACAGAGTCTGCATCCAACTTGTGATAAGCTCTTGGGTGGCTGGATTTCTTATTATATTTCCACCTGTGATCATGGGACTACAACTGGATTTCTGTGACTCCAACATCATTGACCACTTCACCTGTGATTCTTCTCCTATGCTGCTGATCTCCTGCACAGACACAGCATTCCTACAGCTCATGGGATTTGTCCTGGCAGTATTCACTCTCATGGTCACCTTGTCACTAGTGATTCTTTCCTATGCTTTTATCCTTAGGACAATTCTGAGAATCCCTTCTGCTGAGCAAAGGAAAAAGGCCTTTTCCACTTGTTCCTCACACATGTTTGTTGTCTCCATTTCCTATGGAAGTTGCATTTTCATGTATGTCAAAACCTCAGCAGATGAAGGAGTAGCTTTTACCAAGGGCATAGCAGTGCTCAATACCTCTGTTGCTCCAATGCTAAATCCATTCATTTACTCCCTAAGGAACCAACAGGTAAAACAGGCCTTTAAAAACTTATTCAAAAGATGTTTTTCAAATAAATTTCAATCATAAAGAAATTCCAAGTCTGAAATTAATATTGAAGTTTACGATTAATGCAATAATGACATTGTTTTGTTTCTAAATTCAACTTCCCTTTCCTTAAGGTCTTGCTTTTTTATTTATCTAATTTTCATTTCACTGGGTCAACTATTCTTTAATATGTATATGACCTGACAATTTTCAGAGCATGAGTAAATTTTTTGGTGTGTCATAAATATGAGGATGCATATTAATAAGAATTCCAGAATTTATTTGTAAATCAATAATTGATGAACTATAACTCTGGCCTGCAATAAGATTTAAATAAAATTTACCATAAAGTAATTCTGAAACAGTTTTTCTCTTGGTACATAGGAAAAAGTGCTAGCATATATTCTTCGATGGGATAAGAGCTCTTTATTTTTCTTGTATTTCTATTTTTCTTTGTATTTTTATAATTCAGCTATATAAATGTTAGCCTACACTATTTGGTGAATATTGTTATGTCTTCACAGTATCTTTTACCATTTGATATTATAAATTATAGTGTCTGGTGTGGTGCTATAGGATAAGCAGTGGACTGAAAGTTCACTTTGAATGCAAAGTCAGCGGTTCGAACTCACCAATCACTCCTCAGAGACACAGGACAAGATCACTGTGAGCCTAAACTGAGTGTATGACACTTAACAGCAACAACAGCAGTGATTTTTTTAGTGTAAATTCCAAAGTATGGCATTGCTAGTTCCATCAAGTCCCAATATATTCACAAGGAAGCACCTGTAATTAACTACATTGATCACTGCCCCTTTTTTTCTCTTATTAAAGCCATAGGCTCGGTTCTGACTCATAGAAACCTTGTATAGGATTTTCAAGGAGCAGCTAGTGAGTTTGAACCACCGACCTTGTGGTTGGCAGTCCAGTACTTATGCTACAGCACCACACCATTATTGCGTCTTTGTCTCTTTAATTTGCTAATGGTGACCATGGTGTTCATCTCAGGGTACTTTGGAAATAACTGCCTATGCTTGATATCCTGAAATGCAATTTCCTTTCATTTGATTATTCTGGAAATTGTAACCCATATCATTTTTATATTTAATAAAGTTCTCAAAATTTCTGCTACAATAATGAGATCCTAGGTTGTTTCCCAAGATTTATATGGATTCATCATTAGGTAAATCATATCTATTTTCTAAATTTTGTGATGCATTGTAGGGTCTGATATTAAGTATGTGTGCACAGTCCACATATTGAAATAGAACTTCTATTATTTCTCTGAAAAAATAAGCTCTACATTTATGAACTAAAACTTAGCTAAATATTTATCCATTATTTCTTTCCAGTCTTCTTTTTATCACAAGCAGTAAAAGTAAAATGAAGTAATTTTGTTTATTGCTTGCATACATTTTCTTTACATTCATTTGAATTCTGGGTACTTGATTTGCTATTCTTTTCTTCTCACTAAAAACTAAATTACTGTACCAAGGATTTATAGATTAAAATAATACATAATTTAAAATAGGTAAAAATTAATAAATACAATCAGGCAATATGACTATGTAAAACATCTCTATAATATTTGCATTCTTCTGTCTTAGTTTTACCGGAGTCACTCTGAAGGAGTTGCCAATGCCATGTAGGTTGTAAGAAAGGCCGGCATGTGGCTCAGTGGATTCATATCCATTCACTGAGCCCTGTATTCCCTGTTTGAGAATATTTTATAGGGAATGGAGGGTACATGCATGAGTCCATTTTGGATTGGTTAGTGGGGGCTAACAGCAAGACAGGGCTACCTGGGATTGGCAGGTTCAAACACATGGTGGGGAAGAATGTGTGAGCATTCAAGCGAGAAGCTACATAAGTGGAAGCAGGTAAACGTTAGCTTGGGGCTCTGTTCCCTCCCGGAGGTGGGTCAGAAACAGGAGATTATCCTGGGTAAACACATGAGGCTGAGGTGGTCTGTTGCTTATTTCCTGGGATCTGAACTCTGCTCCAGGAATGAGATATGAGCCTGGGGTACATGGGGGCCAGCACCAGTTTCCTCACGTCTGCCTCTACATGAATCTGGAAATTATGCTGTAGGATAAGCACTGGACTATGAACCACGAAGTCAGTGGCTCAAAACCACAATCTGATCCTCAGAAGCCCTATGAGTTATAACCAACTTGACAGCACTTAATAACAGCATGTTAAAAAGATTGTGATTCTATAGACAAGGTCAGAGATTCAATCCCATCAGTCACTCTGTGGGCGAAAGATGAGGTTTTCTCTTCCCAAAAATATTTATAGTCCTGAAAACACTATAAAGATCACTGTGAGTGCCATATTATATCTACTAGACTTCAAAGCAAAAGCCAGTTTATGAGACACAGAACGACATTATATCATGATTAAAGGGAGAACAAAACCATAATAAATATCTATGAACCCAATGAAATAACTTCGAAATACACTTATCAAACTCTGATAGTGTTGAAATTATTGTTGTTATGTTCCGTAAAGTCGATTCTGACCAATAGTGACCCTGTATAGGATTTTCAAGGAGCAGCTGGTAAACTTGAACCACCAACCTTGCAGTTAAAATGACTTTGCAGTCTGACACATTAACCCACAACACCACACCAGGACTCTATAAGAATAGTTGATGAAGTACCAAGCAACTAACAAGAAACTCAACAAAGACTAAGAAGAACTAAGCAATAACAACAACAACAACAAAAAAAAAACTTGACCTTATAGATTTATATAGAGCTTTCAACCCAATAGCACATATGCATTATTTTCCAGTTCACATGGAACATTCTCCAGAATACACAAAGCAAGCCTCAATACATTTTAAAACCTCAAAATACAAAAGCATCTTCTCAGATCACAGCACTATAAAATGACAACAAGAGGAATGAACTGAAAAACAATAACACATGTTAAAAATGTTTTACAAAGTCTGATAATGACTTCAGTGAGATTTGGGAAGTATGGTGGACTCTTAAATAGAGATATGATTTATCCAGAGATTTAAGTATTATTCTGTTGTTGTTGCTTCTTTCTTTCATTTGTTAAGACTTTTGCTTTTACCTGTTGTTGTTAGGTGCCAATGAGTCGGTTGCAACTCATAGCAACCTTATGCACAATATAATAAAACACTCTGTGAAACTGCCATCCTCACAATTGTAACACTTCAGCCCATGCCATGTAACACTTCAGCTGACACATGCCAATTCATCTCGTTGGGGGACTTCATCTTTTTCATTAACCTTCCACTTTACCAAGCATGATGTCCTTCTGCAGGGACTTGTCCCTCTTGGTAATATATCTGCAATATGAGAGACAAAGTCTCACCATCCTGGCTTCTAAGGAGCATTCTGGCTGTATTTCTTCCAGCATAGATTTGTTTGTTCTTCACGCAGTCCACGGTGCTTTGAATATTATTTTCCAATGCCATAACTCAAATGCTTCAGTTCTACATTCTTCCTTACTCATTGTCCAACTTTCACAGGCATATGAGGCAATTGAAAATATAATATCTTTCCTGATTTATCATCCATTTTGCCTGTCCTAATGACTCCCTCTTGCAATATCTACTTTTGTAGTCCTTAAACTGACATCTTTGCTCTTGAACAGTACTATCTGTGTATTACTGATTATTTGTTGTTAAGTGCCATCAAATGGGTTCCAACCCATAGTGAACCTGTATAGGATTTCCAAGGAGCAGATAGTGAGCTTGAACCACCAACCTTGTGATTCAAACCAACTTTGCAGTCCAGCACATTAGCCCACAATGCCACACCAGGACTCCAAAACTGTTACTTCCCACTTATTTGTGTGAATAGAATTTCAGCAAGGTAGTAGTAAAGTTCAGCTCTATCAAGAAATGTATATGAACAGAAAAAAAATGGTATGCTGATAAATATTAAACACGTTTTCAATATGCTTACAAGAATGTAAGTAGTTGTTGGGTGGCATCAAATCATACTGACTTATGTAGAAAAGAATGAAACACTGCCTGATCCTGTGCCAATCTCACAATCATTTCTCCCAGAAAGGAAGCTCCCCCACAGGAGAGTCACATGTGAGGAGGCATTGGGCAAATTCCCAAAGAAGCCTGGTACACAGATGACTCAGCTTGGGGTAACTTCCCAGTGGTGGACAGTGGCTATACAGTCAGCCATGGAAGGTATCTGAATTGAGCAAGGCACAGTGCAGAGTAGCCAGCCAGTGGCTAAGTTGAGGGCTGCTTCGATGGTACTGATGCACAAGGCCAGCCCCACAGTCCTATGCACAGAAAGCTGGGCAATGTATAAAGGACTACACTATGGAAATATATGGCCAACACTATGGAAAAAGCATGAGTGGATAGTGAACCAGCAACCCTTCTTGGGGATGAAACTGTGTAAGGACATTTGGGTCTGCACACAAGGCATGGGCGTTGTTCTTTTTCAAGTGTCAATTCAGGCTACTCAGCCTTCCATTATTCAAGGTTTCTCCCAGTTCAGTGCAGCTTTTGGCACCCCACTGATATTGATAGTGATCAGGAGCCCAAATCCACTGGGCAGGAGGTCCAGGAGTGGGCAGATGGCCTGAGAAGTGCATCACATTTTCATCTCCCATACTATCCTAATGGAATGGATGAACAGGATTCTGAAACGAACCCTGCAGCAAGATGCATACTGGTTACAACAATGGAAGGAAAACTACCAAAAGACTGTGATGTACCAATGAATAGCAAAGACAGACCCAGTGTCTATCAGCTGCTCAATGAAAATTCAAATACGCAACCCCTCCCCACTTTTGCTGGTACCTAGAGATGCTCACTCATAATTTCTTTCAGTTGTCCCAGGATCTAGCCCCAGGGAAGTCCATTGTTTCCCTTTCCTGGGTATGGAAAACAGGTCCCTGTTGGTTTGCCTGTTTGTCCCCATGGGGATTAGGGTAAGACGTAGGTTTATAAGTATCCCCATAATTTAGTCTAGCACCTCCTAAGAGCTAACAGCTTTTCCATCCCAGGATGCACTTCATCCCTTGGGGGAACTCAT